AAATAGAAAAAGAAAATAAATAATACCAACTATTATGTGAAATCAAACGAGGACTATGTTTATGCTACTAAAGCAATAAAAAGCAATTTAAGAAAAACAGAATTTTTTGGTGTCCAACTAAGGTATGAATCACACTGTTTTGTTTTGGCTATTTTGCTTAACAGGTTACAGGGCTCTCTGCTTCTAAGCAGCTCAGCAGAGAAGTACAAACCTTTGCCCTCCACATCGAGGTCTGCTGCATAGTCCCAGATCATTGGCTGCACAAGCTGTGGGACCCCAGACTCTGAAAAGAACAGAGCTCTTCTAAGTAACGGAAAACAGCCAGTTAAAAGTGAGAACTAAGTACACAATATTGGTGCAGTGACGCATGACTGGAACTAACGATGGCTTGTCACTAGAATTCTTCATTTGCAGTTGAATTCCCCATGGGCATTTTCAGCCTGGCCAGGGCTTTGAACACACAGGTTCACATGCCAGGGGCCACCAAGTCCTTAGACACCTTGAATCCACTAATATTGATCAGCAGTGACAATTCATCGGAGATCCCAGTCATCCCAAGCCCATCTCATTCTTACTCCCTTGAATCTGGCCGTATACCTGCTGGGTTGAACTGGCGGAGCTGCAAACTGTACATGCAAGATTTCAGCTAAATTCAAAGGAAGTATTCACCATTTAAATTAGAGATCATCTGAGCTGTGTTGCACTTAGCTTCTCAAGATGCCTTTAAAATACAAGTAAAGATATAGGTTTAGCTTCAAATCCCTTTATAATCAACTCCCTGACTAGTTTTAAACATGAGAAACAGACCCCTAGAGAAACTGCAGTAAATTATACAAAAATTCAGTACTTTAACTGCAGCCCATTTTAATTTGTTTAGTCTGCGATTGCCTATGGCAGTACAGTGCACTTAGTTAGATGCTGTGCTGCCCTTGTGGAAACTGCATGGGTCCTGTCTGCATTTTGTTGGATGATTTCCCGGTATTAAAGCCATGAAGAGGTCAGTCACTACTGGAGGAGTTCTTCATCTGTCTAAATCTGTTTGGAGCAGACACATAAGGTGGCTCTGAAAATGCTGGAACTCCGTCTGTGCTAGGACTACTCAAATTTTAGCAGTGGTTTCACATTTTCCAACAAACAAGACTCTTGATGTCAGGGTCTCAGAGCTACCCCACAATTCAGTATCAGAGTTCCTCATGATGTGCACTGTCATCACTGTCAGATGCTCACAGGGTCGCAGCTTCTCCGTGTGAGTCTGCACCACTGGAACCAGATGCTGCACAGGGCAACAACTGACATTAAAAGGTGGTGAAAGGCACAGAAATTTAGGCTGAGACCACAAACGCTAACAGGCTTTTTTCAAATGTGTAAAGAAAGCAGAATTGATGGCAACCACTGCACGATGATGTTTTGCTTGTCACTGTGCATTACCAGATGGAAAACTAAAGTGATTGCATTGAGGCTTGCCCACAGTCATACAGAAAGTCTGTGGCATAGCCAAGGACTAAATGTCTCTACTCTCTAGTCTAATGGATCCTACCTCAACTATTCCCAGATTTCTCTTTTTCAGTATTTTCATCTGCCAACAAATCTGTTTTAACTGGTTGTATAAACTTTTTTGTATGCTACAAAATATGACTCACCCCATCATTGGTCACACACCTGCCAACGTTTCCTCACTTATCCCTCTGAGCATATCATCCCACACGATGGGCGTCACACCGGGGTAAGACGAGGCCACACAACTCGCTACTGCTTTTATGTGGGATAAGCACAGCTTCTCTGGAGTGTTGTCTTGTTGCTGCAGCCACTGCTTTGACTCCTCTCCTTCACCGAGGTAGTAGACCTGAAACATCAAACAAATAATCCTGACTTCTTTTATAGGAACAGGGGGAGCGAGTTTGACACAGTGTCATGAAATCATACAATATTCAAAACCTATCGCAAAGATATACCACACCGAGTGGACATATTTAAAAGCACCTCTCGGTGTTGAAGACGCTGCAAGCATTTCTATCAGTCTGCAGGAGACTGTGGCCCTGACTAACTGCATCACGTAAGGGAATTTTCCTATAGGAACTAAAATATCTAAAGCATAATTAAAGCGTGCTGGTTTTGTCTTTGGAAGGTTTGTCCTTGGAAGTAGCTCTCACCAGTTTTACTCAGTTCAAGTCTAGCAACTCATAAAGTCCTGAATTATATAAAATGAGGTTTCTGTCTTGGGGAAGGAGACCATTTGTATGTGAATCTAGAAGTGACATGTCCAAGGTGGCCCTAGCACACTTGGTCCTATGCAGAGAGTGGATTTGGGCCTGTTAAGCTGGATATGCATTTAAACTCTTTGTTGTTTTAGAGCAGGTTTTATCTAAAACACATTTATTCTATATAAATCGTATTTTACTCTATAAATGCTTGCAGGTCCCTATTGAACCCTGCCATCTGTTCCCAAACAACAGAATTCAAAATGCTAAACTAATATCAGTACAGTTAAGGTGATCACAATGAATTTCAGGGATCTGCATGCCACAGGGTTGGTTTTAAGAAACCCTGAGAAAGGAGAAAACTCAAGGTTGTCCTCCTCAAGGAGACAAACTACCATGAGGAAACAAAACATTTCCCACCACAAAAGGGCTTACGCTGAATAAGCTGGCCAGAACAATGAGCCAACATCTTACATGAAAACTCACAAGATTCTTAATGAATACCTCCAATTGATATCTCACTTGGAATACTCATTTGACCTAAAACCAAATGCTGAGTTAGCTTTAAGAAACTGCTTTCAATACTTTTGATATTAGACTCAGATCAACAGAAATGACATCCTGTGCTACTGGAATCATTTATTGTCAAAATGACTTTTGTACACTGGCTTGAATTGGTCTTTTCTGTCCCTAAAATCCTACCCAAGTGTGGCCTGGGCACCACTGAAATGCAGAAGCCTCGGCCCTTACCATCATCCCTCACAAAAAAATATTCCCAGCTCAAGAGAAGTCCCACCTCATCACATCCGATGTGAAACCATTTTACGTCTTCGTGCAGTGCCATGACCTGGTCAATCATGGCTTTGACCAGTGCCCGCGACTCCTCCTTGTGTGGGTTGAGGGCGTTGGGAAACATCTTCACCTCCCGAAGATGAGCAAACTCTTTGTGCTTCAGCACAAACTGCAAGAGAAAGGAGAGCTCGAGTAACAATCGCAAAATGAAGGGGACAGCAGCATCCTCTTGTGTCACCAGGGCTCTGCCAACAGTTGTCCTGCTAAAACCTGGGTTTTGGCTGTGTGTGGGTGCGGAGGGCAGCACAAGGCCTCTCGCCAGGGGCGGTACGGGCAGGAGTGCCACGGCCGCTGCTCCACCGTGCTGCGGGGGTCTCCGACCTCGAAGCACCTCACGGGGTGAGGGAAACAGGGCGGTCAGTGCAGCATCACCCTGATGTCCGGAGCGCGCAGCTGATGGGAGCTGGCCAACCGGAGCACCGGGAGTTACGGTGACGATTTCCCCGCAGAGCTACCCCCACGCCACGCCAAGGCCGAAGCTGGGCCGGAGCTGCTCGCCCCCACTCGCACAACCCAGCGCTCCCAGGCGTCAAAAGCGCGACGCCGCCGGCCCGGTGCTCACCTCCATGTGCCCGAAGGCCTGCACCAGCGGCACCACCTCCAGCCCCTGCGCCCTCGCCTGGCTCAGCACCGCCCTCACCTCCCCGGGGCTGCGGGGGGAGAGCGAAACGTCAGGGCCCGGCCCGGCCCCGGTAGCGCGGCTCCCCCCGGGGCCCTCCCCGGGCGGTACCTGTAGGCGTGCGGGGCCCGCAGCGGCTCCAGCGGCCC